CTTGGGCTGCCCGTCCCCGTCCCTGTACTGGACCAGGAAGTGGTCAAACTGTCCCTCGGGGACCGTCCAGGAGAGGCTCAGGGAGTCCGGGGTGGCGTCGGTCACGGTCAGCTCCCCCAGGCGCGGCTCCCTGGGCGTTTTCAGGGCCTCTGTGCTGGGCTCTGTGGGGTCCGGCATCTCCTGTGGGGCTGAGATCAGGGCAACAGACATTCAGGGTGATGCTGTGGTGACGCCACTGGGCCAATAAGGCGCACGTGCAGACACAGCTCCCGCCTGAGGGCTGGGGCTCAAGCAGCTGTTGGCGTCTGTCACTGGGTCACCTATGAATGGAGAGGCGGGGCCAGCCCTGCACTGGACCTGCCCGCTGGGGGCTCCCACGGTGTCTGCCCCGTGCATGAGAAGGGCTGACACCAGAAGAGAGGACCCCTCGGAGACCCTTCCGCAGTGTCACTGGCAGCCGTGACCTCAGAGAAGCGAGGGGAGGGAGGCCCCTGTCTGCCCTGTGCCCCTCCCCAGGTGCTGGCGGCTCCACGCTCACCAGGCTGGGAGGCGGAAGGTGCTGCCTCCAAGCAGCCCAGGCAGCACCCCTGGAGGACCCTGAGGAAGGAAGGCTGAGGCAGGGCTCTGGGAGCCTGACCCTGAGGGCCCGCTGCTGCCTGCCGGCTCGGCATGAACAGCATCATGGCTCCCATTCACTGAGCCCTGCAGGGGCGGAGAGGCTGTGGCCCAGCCTCGGTCCAGGAGTGCCCCATGAGGGACAGGAGGGCAAGGAGGGAGCAGGCCGGGGGACGCAGGGGGAAGGGGCCGAAAGAGGCTGCTAGGAAGGCGAGAGCAGGGGAAGGGGCAGCGGCCAAGGTGGGCAGACCCTGGTCCCGGGTGGCCACGCATGGACTTAGTCATCCCAGCAGCTCTTCGAAGGGGCCACTGCTGTCACCCCACTTGTGGACGGGAAAGCGGGTGCTGCGCGGCCAGCAGTAAGTGGTGGAGGGCTCCAGAGCCCGCACCCCTAAGAGCCGTCCACACTCGCTCTTGTCAGGGCCTCTTGGGCTGTGGACAGAGTGCCTGATGGGGCGGGGCTGAAAGTGGATGTCTTCCCCATGTGGGAGGATGCTGAGGGGGTGCTGCCTTGTCCTGGGGCTGCCACCTCTGAACAGAGCAGCGATGCAGCCAGGGTGAGGGAGCAGGTGGCGGAGGCTTGGAGGGGCCGGGTCTGAGCCAGGCAGGAGCTCAGAACATAGTGGCTGGTGAGGACTCTGCAGGGGCGCTGGCCTGCAGTTTGTGTGCATGGGCAAGTGTGCGTGCGTTTGTGTGTGTGTGTGTGTGTGTGTGTGTGTGTGTGTGCGCGTGCATGTTAGGGGAATCCAGGTGCATGGGACAGGAAACATGGAACCTGTTCCCAGGATGGGGAAGAGCCGAGAAAGAGATCAGAGGGAGAGGAGTCCCTGGGCAGAGGACAGGAGCGCAGGGAGCACAGGCCAGGCTCTGCCGAGGAGGAGCTGAGGGCACAGGAGCCGCGCCAGGTTCCTCAGAGCCCTGCAAGCAGGGGAGGGGAGGCCTGCGGCTCTGACTCACCTGTCTTGGCCACGACGGACACCGGCCCCACACGCTGCCTGCCACGAAGCCCGTAGAGGTTCATTTTATACTTCCGGTTGGACTCTAGGCCGGGGACCAAGAGCTCATTCTCGTTGTCCCCAGCCTGCACTGCCCGGGGCTGCCCCTGGGCATCCTTGTACTGCACCACAAAGGAGTCGAAGGGGCCCCGGGCCACCGTCCAAGACAGGCGCAAGGAGTCCGGGGTCACGCTGGTCACCGCCAGCTCCCCCAGGAGGGGCTGCTCGGGAGGCTCGGGAGGCTCGGGAGGCGGCTCCTCCTTCCGCTCCGGGGCTGTGAACAGGAGGATTCAGCCAGGCCCTGCCTTCGAGGGGCACCCGGCTTCGTGGGCAGCTCCTGGAGAGGGGGATCCTCTACGGGCTCCTGGGACGCCTGGCACAGCCAGGGTGTGACCGGCCTCAGGGAGCAGCTGAATGGGACGCCAGGAGCCCGGGGTGGGCGGGGGCTGCCCCTAGGCTGGGAGTGGGCTGGGCCTGGGCTGCAGACAGGTGTGCAGGGCGTGTGGCAGGTCACAGCAGGGCCCGGGCGGCCACTCACCAGTAGTGCCGTCGGCTGTGAGGGGGCCGTACCGCTTCCTGTGGGCAATCCCGAACAGAGAGAATCTGTACTTGTGGTCAGGGTCCAGCGAGGAGATCGTGGCTGAGCGCTCCGGCCCCTCCACAGGGACCACCTGGGGGCGCCCGTCCCTGCCCCTGTACTGGATCATGAAGGAGTCAAACTGGCCCTCGGGAACAGTCCAGGTGACGCGCAACGAGTCTGCAGTTGGGTCTGTTACCCACAGATTTCCCAGGCGGGGTGGGGTTTCTGGGCTGGGCTCCTTCCACAGCACTGGAAGAGACAGAGAGACAAAGGAGGTCATAGGAGAAGTAGGAACTCATCTGTCACGGAGGGATGCAGTGTGAGGTTGTGCAGGCTGCTCACTGCACAAGCGTATGTGGTCAAGGGGGTGCAGAGGAACTGAAATCTGGCCAGCACTCTGCTTGCGATGCTGCATGCTCTGCGGAGGAGCTTTGCCCAGGTACAAGAAAGAGTGAATCCTAAGTGGCACAAAAGCACTGCAGTGCAGCGCTGGTTCTACCCACAACCCAGGCGGAGGGGATCGGAGACGGGGTGCCCAGCCAGGCCCTTCCACGTCTCCACAGCCAGGGGAAGCATCCGACCTCCCTGCTTCCAGGCCTCCTCCAAGCTGCTCCACCCTAGCCCGGGCCCTCCCTCCCGGCCATGTCCGGCCCTCCGTCACCCTCCCACCGGGACCCCTGAATCACTCTGCCCAGACCCAACGGCTGACTGCAGCCCCTCCTGACACCTCGCCCTCTTCTGCCCCCCTCCCGGCCACCTCTCGGGCCGCCTGTGGGCGCCTCCGTCCTGCTCTGAGCAGTGCCCCAGGGCTCCAGGGCCCCATCTCCCTGTGGCCTGCCCTGCTCCCATCTGCCGGCCCTGCTCCTGCCACAGCCCTCAGGCCTAGGTCTGCTCTCCGCACCCACCAGGGTGGCAGCAGACCCTGGGGCCAGGCCCCGCCACTGCTGGGTGACCTCTCCCTCCCGGAGCCACATGCTCCTCGGGGTGTGGGTGCTCAGAGGTGTCCGTCCAAGGCCCTCCTGCTCCCCACCCCGGGGCAGGGCTGTCCGGCCAGGAAGCTGGGGCTGGCCCGGGCCTCCTCGCTCTGCTATTCCTCACCACCCACCCCCAGCCGGGCCGCCACCTTGCCCGTGCAGCCGTCCATTCTGGTCTAGCTATGCTCGCCGCATGGGGCTGGGGGTGAGGTCACAAACGCGCCAGCCCTTCCTGGGGCCCTTCAGCACGGCTCGAGCAAAGACAGGCCACAGCAACGCGCTCTCCCCAGGGGCCACTCCGTGTGTCCACGCCGCTCACCGTGAGCCCCCACCCCTGGCCCAAGCAAGCTCCCGAGGCCCAAGAAGGCTCCCTCAGGGCAGGGAGGGCAGGGGCGCCACTCACAGATCCTGGCTTCAGCCACCAGGGGGCCGTGCTTCTTCTTGCCTGCGAGCCCATACAGGGCGAATTTGTACTTGCGGCCCGGCTCCAGGGCGGTGACCAGGGCTGAGCGCTGGGACCCCTCCACCGGGACCACCTGGGGCCCGTCCTTGTCCTTGTACTGGATCACGAAGGAGTCGAACTCCCCCTCGGCGACCGTCCAGCGCAGGAGCAGCGAGTCGGAGCTCAAGCCCGTGGTCACCGTCAGCTCCTCCAGGCGGGGTGGGCCTGGGGGCCTCCTCGGCTCCTCCTCCTCCTCATCTGGGGGTGGGGAGCAAATCATGGTGGGCTCGGCCGTCACCTGTCTCCTTTCCCTGCCCCTCTCCTCTGCCTAGCGCCTCTGTCCTGGACAGCCTCTCCCAGGAAGCCCCCGTCCCCCTGCCCCTCGGGCCTGTGACCAGCCCTCCCTCAGCACGGGGCCCTTGTGACAGTGCCCCAGCGGCTCTCAAGGTCCTCGCTGCTTTGCACATCAGGGCCTGGGGGAGTTTCAGGGTCCCCAAGGTTCTGACTGAGAGTTCTGAGCCTCCACACTGTGGCTTCAAGGGGTCTGAAAACTCCTCAGCCGCCAGAGCTGTTCTCTCCCTTGCCTCCCTCCCTCTCAGTGGTCTGCTTGACCTAGAACTGGGGTGACAGTCAACCTCCCTGGTCCCAAGAGAGGGCCAAGAGGGGGCGTGGGGGCTCGGTTGCCCGGCCCTGTCCTACCAGCGTCCCCAGCTCTGAAGTCCTGATGGCTCCAGCTCCTCCCCCAACTCAGGACCCGCTCAGGTGAGCAGAGGACGTACCCATGATGCCTCGGTAGGCGATGGGAACCGAGGGCTTGTTGCCAGGAAGGATCCCATAAAGTAGCAGCCGGTAGGGGGCTCCAGGAGGGGGTGGGGGCACCAGAGCCTGGCGGACGTCTCCTGGGAGCAGCTCTTCGTGCACCCCGGACCCCTCCGGCACCTGCAGGTGCAGCCGGAAGTGGTCAAAGGTATCGGGCTGGGCAGTCCAGGCCACGTGGAGGCGCCCCATCTCATCTCTGCCCAGCGCCGTCAGCTCCCCCAGCTCCTGGGGGCGCTGCACCAGGGGGGCCTCTGCCCCTTGAGTCGTGGAGGGGCCAGCCGGAGGAGGCTCATCAGTGGCTCCCAAGGGGGAGGTCCCTGAGAGGGGTAGGGAGGGTGAGAAACAGTTGAGTGAGAGCCGGAAAGGAGGCTCCAGCCGGGAGCTCCTCCCTTCTCTGCTCCTGGTCCCACCACCCCTGGTCCCAACATCCCTATGCACCAGATCCTGAGCAGAAAGCCCGGGCCGGGCCAGGGAACAGGTGAACAAAGCCCACAAGGCTCCCAAGAGCCCCACCCCCTCCCCAGGTGGTCCGGCCTCCATTAGTGCAGTGAGAAGCCTGGAAGAGAGGGGGCCGTGGTGTTAGAGAGGGAGGGTGCCAGAGGGCGGCAGGAGAGCAAAGAGGGCTGGGCCGGGAGCAACATCCAGTCAGGTGACATCTGGGCCCTGGGGAAAGAAGAGGCCCCGCCCACACAGCGCCCCGCCCGCCTGGACCCTGCCTGTGGGAGAGACCCCAACCGCACTCGAGGCTCGGAGGCCACCCAGCAGTCCTGGAGCGTCCCTCCCGGGTCAAGGCCACATGGTGGGGGATAACCGCCAGCCACAGCCTTCAGCCACGCTCACCACTGCGAGTCAGCGCGGCTGTAGCCTCACCCACTCACTCCATCCCCACACTGCTGCCCAGCGTCCCTTTCCGGGGGGCCCCGGGTGAGAACCGGGAGCACCAGCGAGTGGGTTTCTCTGGCTCTGCCAGGGCCCTGCGGCGGGCTCCGAGGCAGGCGGCGCTGGGCAGGGTGGTGGCCGGCCCCAGCCACGCTACCTGTGGTGGTGACGAAGGCGTAGGACTTGGAGGTCTGCCCCGCCCGCACCCCGTGCGCCTCCACGTGGTAGGTGGTGCCGGGGCTGAGGTTGGGCAGGCGCGCTGTGCGCGCGGAACCGGGCACGGTCAGCTCCCCGCCGGGGCCCTCTGCGGGCGGCTGGGGGCGCCAGCGCAGCACCACGCGCTCGAACTGGCCGCGGAGCCCGTCGAGGGACACGAGGAGCGCGCCGTCGGCCGAGCTGCCCAGCACCTCGGGCTTGGGGTGGCGGGGCGCGGCCCCGGGGCTGTAGACGCCCTGGCCAGAGTCCCGCGCGGCGGTGCCCGGGGCTGGGCCGGCGGGGGGTGCAGGGGAGCCGGCGGGCGCCCCCAGACGCCGCAGCAGGAATTCGTGGAGGTGGCGCGCCACCGACGCGTAGGTCTGGTTGCCCCGCAGCGGGTAGCCGCGGGCCCGCAGGTGGCGCTCCAGGTCCTGCACCGTCCCGCGGAAGCGGCCCAGCTCGGCGGTCAGGTTGCCCCACGCCCGCCGAGGAGGCTGAGGCAGGCTCGGCCCGGGGCTCGGCTTCTCCCGCTCTGGGGGCGGCGAGGGCCGGGCCGGCCGGGGAGGCCCCGCGGGCCGGGGCCGGGGCCGGGGCTGGGGGGCCGGGGCTGGGGGGCGCACCTCCGGGTAACTGTAGGGGGCTGGTGCTGCCGAGGGCGAGAAAGGGAGGGAGAGCCGGTCAGTGGCCGCCCCCACCCTGCGCGCCCCGCCCGCCAGAGCCCAGGCCTCGCCCCGGGCCCAGCCCCTCCTGGAAAGAGAACCGGAGCAGTGAGTCGGGCTCCCGGAGCCTCACCCCCACCCGCCAAGCCCACCTCTGCTGGTGCCCTAGAAGGAAGAGAAAAGCTAGCAGCCGGGCCCTTATCTGCTGGAGAGAAAAGGGATGGGGGAGAGAAAGTGAGCTACAGCCAGGTGGGCGTCCCTCTGCCACAGGAAAAGAAAGCAAAGATGCAGGCATCTGTTAAGAAACCTTGAGGGTTAGTGGGTAGTGAGACCCCGCTCCTGGCTCCCGGCGAGCCCCATCCTAAAGTCCACAGGACCACTGACCTCTGACCTGCCGAGTTCAGTCCCCACAGGCCCCGACTGTCAGGACAAGGCCTGCCCGCCCTCCCTCCCGCAGTGGATCCGACAGGGTCTCCCGTTTCCTGCTTCTCCCCACGGTCACTTCCTCTCACGGCCCGCCCTACAGCCCTCCTAGGGGACTCCAGCACCCAGCCCTCTGTCTCACGGGTGCCCTCAGAACAGAGCAGGGCAGGTGCTCGGGGACTTCTGGACCCCGACCAGCGCATTCAGAGAAGACCCTGTGCCTCCCAGCTGGGAGCCCAGGCCTGAGCTCCTGACTTTGGAAACCAGCACTCTCTGATAACCCTGCCAACCATACCTGTGTTGGCCCTGACGGAGGCTGGGTAGCTGACCGCCCGGCCCCGTTCTGCTGTGACAGTCACCACGTATTCCACCCCTGGCATCAGGTCAGTCAGCAGTGTCCCGTCTGCTTTGGGGGGGACTTCCAGCCGCACCCTCTGGTTGCCCGCACTGACATAGGACACCACAAATCGGTCCACCTCGGCCAGGGGGCGCAGCCAGCTGAGCTCCAGTGTGGTTGGTGTCACAGCCACCACGCGGAGGTCCTGAGGGCCATCGATCACTAGCCGGGTCAGAGAGAGGAGGGCTCAGGTCCTCAACCTTCTTTCCCAGCCCTCCACCCAGGCCCGCCTCCAGGGCCCCAGCTCTCACTGGTGGTGATGGCCTTAGAGGCAGGAGGGCCCCAGCTGGTCCCTCGAAGGGCACGGACAGTGACCTGGTACTCCTGGCCAGGGGCCAGTCCTCTCTGGTCATAGGCGGAGGCAGAGCTGGGCACCCGCGCCGTGAATGGGGGGCCCCCTCCCTCCACCTGAGAGAGAGAGAGAGAGACAGAGAGAGAGAGAGAGAGAGAGAGCCAGGGAGATCAGGGGCTGGCCCGCTTCTCCTCGCCACTCAATCCCCTGCATCTCTTGTCTTTCCAGTTCCAAGCTGTCCACATGGACTGTGTGGAACTTGGCCCTATTCAGAAAGGGAGCATGGGAAGCCACAGCAGTACCCTAAAGCCTTGTCATACCACCCACTGTGCTAAGCTATTTATAAATGTGAACGCACTTAATTCTTGCAACAACCCTATTAGATTCTGTTAGCTCCACTTTACAGATGAGGAAACTGAGCCACAGGAGGGTAACTATCTTACTGAGCTCACTGTGACCCCAGGTTCCCCTCCCATGGGCACTGACTCCCCATTCATCCACCTGACGCGACCAGGACTGTCCCTGTGGCTTCCCTGTGCAACCCCAACCACCTGGACACAAGGAGTCCTCTCCTAAGCTCTGTCCTTCCAGAACAAATGCAGTAGAGGAGGTTCCTCCCCAAGTGTCCGCTCAGCCCGCACCTCCCACCAGATGGGTGCCTGTGCAGGGTCATTTGGATGTGATCCGCTCATTTCCCTTTAGGGACATTTTGGCAGGCTTGTTGACCTTGGAAAACAAGCCCTGCCTGCATAGAAGTTCCACAAAGTAGGTTTCCTGATTGCTGACTTCGTCCCTGGCATCGTGCTGGGGATGGGAGACGCGAACATACAAGCTCCAATCCTGTCCTTGGGATCTAGCTCATCATCACGTAGCTAAAGTACAGCCCCACGTGGGTCTCTATGCCCACGGCCTGTGTAAGGGAGCCTGATTATATATGGTGGCCTCCAGGAAATCCACTGGACACCGGTCCAGGAAGGGCCTCCCGGGTGCCGGCCGTGCCCTCCGAGCGGCCAGCCAGGGCAGCTGCTGAGGACGCTCTGTTCTGCTCAGCTATGTTGGCCTCAATGGCCGTGCATCCATTCAGCCAAGTAGGATTGGAAATTTTCAAAGATACTCTCCGAAACCAAGAGAACTGTGGGGAAATCAACATAGTAAATACCAGAGTACAAAAACAGATGAGAAGGCCACGTAGTGATTTCTGGGTGAAAAGGAGCTCTAAAAAAATCTTTTTTCTGCTGGTGCTGGGTTCGAACCCAGAGCCTTTGCACTGAGCTGCATCCCAAGCCTTTTTTCTAATTTTAAATTTTGAGAAGCGTTCTCACCAAGTCACTAAGCTGCACACCAGTTGCTCAGCTCTTGCTGCGCAGCCCGTTCCTAACAGGCCACGGACTGGCACCGCTTTGGGCCCAGGGGTTGGGATCCCTGAGTTACAGGCGTCACCCACACCCAGCAAAAACAAAGCTTTGCTGGTTCCTACCTGCCCGTTACCCCACAGTCTCTGTCTCTCTTTAGGGCCCCACCTCGGCTGGCCGCTGGAGCTTTCCCCACTCCCATCTCCACGGTAGATGAGAGCTGACCAAACACTGTCCCATGTGCAGGGCCTGTCTCCCAGCGCACGCCCGGCGGAGCCCATTTCCAGGCTGCAGAAGACACCACCCAGACAAGGGAAGGCCCCTCGGGCCCCAGACTCTCCCGTGCTCAGGGTGAGCTGAAGCGGCCTCGGTCCATCAGACTCACCCGGAGGGCCTGTCACACCACTCTGGTCCTTGTTCTCCAGCAGGCCCCCTGACTCAGGAGATCTGGGGGCGGAGTCTGACAAGCTTTGCTTCTACTGAGCCAGCTAATGCTGATGCCGAGGTCCAGAGAACACCCTGGACCACTCAGAGCCACCGGGCAGAGTGGCAATGCCACTTATCCAAGAGGAGGAGGAGCTTCCTCTTCCACATTCTGAAGAGAATTCCAGTTACTACAAGTGCCCCTTCGCCAGGGATGGGGTGCTTCTGGAAAGAGGGCAGGATGAGGCAGGGACAGGAAGGAAGACGGCAGAGGCCAGGGGACAGGAAGCTACCAGATCTGCTCTATGCCAACCGAAAGGGAAAAGGCTGAAGCCCAGGGGCAGCCAGAGAGCGGGAAGCAGGGTCTGCGGCTGGAATGCAGGCTGGTTAGTGGCCGTGACAGGTGTCTGGGGACCAGTGAACAGGACTTCCTCACAGCCGGCGACCCAGGTGTGCCAGGCGAGCCAAGAGCTGGCCCAAGCTTGGCACAGCGGCCAGCACCAGCTGGGCTCAGAGGGAGAGCCGCACCTGGTGACAGCTGGCAAGGACGATCTGTATTTACGCACAGCAGAGAGGAGGCTGCCCTGAAAGCCCTCTTATCATAGTGTTTATTTTAATTCTTCGCTCCTTGAAGTTTGTTAGGAAAATTCCTTTTAAAAGTCCCACCCGCTCCAGATTCCAGCTATGTAAATAATATACACACAGAAGAAAGCGGGAGAAACGCTTTAAAAGTTAGCAGTGCTTGTTTTAGTGAAGCAGCCAAGAATTATTTCTCTAGCTGCCAAATTCTTGTCCCATGATTATTTTTATAACAAAAAATAATTTTTAAACAAAAGAAAAAACCTGAGCTATCTTGGTTGTGCCACCAAGTAGGAACAGGAGCCTCTGCTTTGGCCAGAACGAGAGACAGTCTGGCCGGGTTTGGGGAGGGGCCGTGAGGAGAAGACCAGGCCAAGGCAGGGGCCACACTGGCACCCCTTAGCTGTCCCCTCGCCCAGCGCCTGTGAAGCTGCAGCCCAGGGTGTCCCGGGAGGCATGGCCCACCCCATCTCATTAGTGAGGCAGCGGCGGGAACACAGGCTGGATGGTAGAGAGGGGGCAGTTTGGAACTGGGCAGCCCAAAGCCCCGTCGCCTGAAGGGAGGTCTCCGCTGACAGGCCACAGGCCTCGCCCTATCTGAGCCCCTCCAGTGTTTACGAGCAAGTTGGATGGAGGCAGAGAAAAAATGCTTTGCAGTGCACTCATGACTTGGAGCGGGGGAAGAAGTTCACAGGCTCAAAATGATTGCAACAGCCTGGACAGCTTGGCCCAAACCAAGGGAGATGACATTGAACAGAAGCAAAGGCAAAGGCCCAATTCTAGACCGAAAAGTGTGTGTCACTCAGTCTGGTCTCCCTCCCTCCCTCCTTCCCTCCCTCCTTCCCTTCTGTTTTTCCTTTCTTATGTATGTTTGCTAAATTTTCGAACTGGGCTTACATGATTTTTATAATAAAAAAGATACTTTTTAAAGGCAAATAAGATCTGTACATAGGGAGGGGAGGGGGCTTGAGGGAAGATGGGATAAAACAAAATAAAATTTATTTTTTAAAAAATTCTAGAAAAAGCAAATAAGATCTGCCAGGCATGGTGGCACATGCCTGTGATCCCAGCTACTCAAGAGGCTGAGGCAGGAAGGTCACAAACTTGAGGCCAGCGTGGACAACATAGTGAGACTCTGTCTTAGAATAGGAAGAAGTGAAGGGCCAGGGATTTAGCTCAGTGGTTCCACCTCCTGCCTCAAAAGCGTAAGGACCCAAGTTCAATCCCGGGTACCAGAAAAACAAAAAAAAGTAGAAGTTAAGCCAAGTGTGGTGGTGCATGCCCGTGATCCCAGCACTTGGGAGGTGGAGGCAGGACGATTACTACAAGTTCAAGGCGAGCCTGAACCACAAAGCAAGACTGTCTCAAAAAACAGTCAGTCAGGGGCTGGGGATATAGCTCAGTGGCATCAAGCACAAGGTCCTGACTTCGATCCCCAGTACCAGAAAAAAAATCAATCAATAAGATAAAAAGGGCTAGGGACGTAGCCCAGTGGTGAAGTACTCCTGGATTCAAGACCTGGTACTGTAACTATAACTCCCTGACAAAGTTTTACGACCAGTTTCCGGGACTACAGTTAGTGTTTACCAACTGAGAAAAACCCCGAGATGTGAGCCAGCCAGGGGCCCCTCTCCGACTCCCATATTAAGGGGCACGTGCAAAGAGCAGAGGGCACAGGAAAAGGAGGAAATCAGAGAACAGGGTTGGGGACGGGGAAGAAACCAGGGGGTTTTGCCTGGGAGATGAAGGATGGTGTGGTGGCCAGTGGCACGGGACACGAGGGCAGCAAAACCTCTCCCGGTGCTGCCTGTTCCACCGCCCCTGGAGCTCAGTGCCCCCCTCACCGTGGGGATGAACTGAATCTCATAGGCATCGACAGGGCCAGGAGCCGGCGTCCACTCTGTCCGGACCGTGGTCTCCTCCAGGAGGTGCATCCGCATGCCCTCAATGGCTGGCACTTCTGCCCAGGAGAAGCGGGTAGGAAAATGGTTACCCGAGGCGGCCGTCACCTCTGGGCCCCTCACTCGGGGCCCAGCCCAGCAGAACTCCCACTGCTCTGGCAGAAAAGCCGGCAGAGGCCTGAACAGGCCCTGCGCCTCCCTCACCTTCCCCTGTCCAGGAACACAGAATCCCCCTAAAGGCGGCTGACGGCCCGTCCCGCTCGCTCCTGGCTCCTAGGAGGTCTCCCTCCCGCCAGTCCTGCCTGCTGGCCTGGGCCCAGGGCTCTGCGCTCCTGGTGGCCGACGACCCCTCCCCTAACACGCGGTCACCCTCCGCTCCTGCGGTGCCTCTCCCCGGCGCAGGTCTTCCCAACAGCTTCTGTGCCCAGAACCCCAGTCCCGTCCGTCCTTCCGTCCGCTCACCTTCCCCGCAGTCCTCCCCGGCATAGCCTTCTAGGCAGACGCAGCCGCCCTGGCGACACTCTCCCCTGCCGCGACAGTCCCCGGGGCACGTCTGGATGGCGCAGTCGGGGCCTCGGAAGCCCTCGACGCACACACATTGGCCGGCGCGGCACAGCTCGCGGGGCCCGCAGCCCCCGGGGCAGGCGCCGGCGGGAGGCTCCTCCTCCCCGCAGTCCTCGCCGCCGTAGCCCGCGTGGCACACGCACACGCCCTGCACGCAGCGCCCGCGGCCCCGGCAGTCGGCCGGGCAGGTGCGGACGGCGCAGGAGGGGCCGGTGTAGCCGGGCTCACACACGCACACGCCGTTCTCGCAGCGCCCGCGCCCGCTACAGTCTCCAGGGCACCGACGGCTCCCGCAGTCCTCGCCAGCGAAGCCCGCGTCGCACACGCACACGCCGTCCACGCAGCGGCCGTGGCCGCGACAGTCGCCCGGGCAGGCGCGCGAGCCGCAGTCCCGGCCGGTGTAGCCGGGCCAGCACACGCATCGGCCGCTTTCGCAGCGGCCCCGGCCTCGGCAGTCCCCGGGGCAGCCGCGCACGCCACAGTCCTCGCCGGCGAAGCCCGCGTGGCACACACACACGCCGTCCTCGCAGCGCCCGCGGCCCCTGCAGTCGCGCGGGCAGGCGCGGGCGCCGCAGTCGGGCCCGGAGTAGCCGGGCCAGCACACGCAGCGCCCGTCCTCGCAGCGCCCCCGCTGGCTGCAGTCGCCGGGGCAGCTGCGCACGCCGCAGTCGTCGCCGCTGTAGCCCGCGTCGCAGATGCACTCGCCGTCCTCGCAGCGCCCGCGGCCCCGGCAGTCGCGCGGGCACGTGCGCGTGCCACAGTCCTCGCCCGCGTACCCGGGCCAGCACACGCAGCGCCCATCCACGCAGCGGCCGCCCTCGCCGCAGTCCCACGGGCAGGCGCGCGCGCCGCAGTCCTCGCCGGAGTAGCCGGGGTCGCACACGCAGCGCCCGTCCACGCAGAGCCCCCTCTGGCTGCAGCCCCGGGGGCAGACGCGCTGGCTGCAGTCGGGGCCCGAGAAGCCGGCGCGGCACACGCACGCGCCCTGCACGCAGCGCCCGCGGCCCTGGCAGTCCCCGGGGCAGGAGGGCCAGCTGCAACTCGGGCCGGCGTAGCCGGGGAAGCACACGCAGCGCCCGCGAACGCAGCGGCCCTGGTCGTTGCAGTCGTCCGGGCAAGACCTGGGTGCGGGGGTCGGGGAGGAGGCGGGCGTCCCGGTGAGGTCGGAGCAGGTGGGCCCGCCCCAGCCTGGCTCGCAGGAGCATGCGCAGCGGCCCAGGTCGAACACGCCGTGGAGGCTGCAGAGGCTGCGCACGTCTGTCTGGCCTGGAGCAGGAGAGAGAGGCCGCCTCAGTCTAGGGGTAGAGAGCCGCGGGGTGCTCCTGGGTAGGGTAGGGCCTCCTGCGCCCGCCGGGCCAGCCTCACTGCTCGGTAGCCAGCTCTACTCTCCAGACTGCTCCGCCCTAACCGCAGGGAAGGGGCCCTTTCCTAATTCATACCAAGCTCCTTCGTGGACTGGGGATGCCCACCCCACCCTGCCCTCCTCTCTGCCCTCCTCGGTGCTGTCGCTCACCTGTGCCCGCCTGGGCGGCCGAGGGACAGCATCCCCCGGAGCACTGTTCCTTGAGCCCCTTCACCAGCTCCTCCAGAACCTCCAGCCGGACCCGAAGGGCCTGCACCTCGGAGGCAGGGGCGGGGGGCTCGGCGCCCGGGGCACAGCCACAGCCCCCGGAAGGTGGGAGGTTAATGCGGTGGGTGAAGACCACTTGCTTCTCGCCCCCCTCCACCGTGTGTTCATAGTGCTGAGAAGGGCGGCTCCCCTCTCCTGCCCCTGCTGCTCGGCCCCCAGGGTGGGGAGGGGGCCGCGGGGCTTCGAGCGTCACATTGGGCCGAGGGGAGAAGGGTCCTGCTCTGGCTACGGCCAGCAGCAGCAGGAGGGCCAGGCTGGAGGTCAGGGTGCCCGGGGCTGGCATCGTTCAGGAGGCTGCAGGGAGAGAGAGCCAGTGTGAGAGGGGCTTCCGGAGGGACACACCACGCAACCCACTCACGCACCCAGAGTCCTGCCCAAACCAAGCCCCACTAAAGGACGCCCCGTCCGGACAGATCTGCGCTGCTCCCTGTCCCTTCAGCTGCCCCCCCCCCGCCCCCGTCTTGTTTTTCCCATAAACACCACAGGCTTTCACTGGCCTCAGGGCCTTTGCCCTGTGGGCTCCAGATTCTCTTCACTCAGCTCTCAGAGGGTGGGCTCTTGTAGGTCAGATAGTAAAGCACCGGCTCTTAGGCTGCCTCAGGAGCCGTCCACAGTCTGGGCACAGTGGGCTGCCCTGCTCCTCCAGGCCTAGACATGTGTTTGCTGCTGTCTGTTTTTTTGTTGTTACTATCTTTCTCCCACTGCTAGGATGGGAGCGTCAGGAGAACAGGGACCTCTCGTCTGTGGGACGGATTCGGATTCCTGTGCGGTCCAACACCTCTGTGCGGAGTGAAATTAGCCGAGGAGAGTCCAGGGCCAGCCTTCCCCTCGAACCGGGGACAGCTCCCCGCCGCCGCCTCCTCACCGTCCTCTCTGGGCAGTCTGCTCTCTCCCACCCTGAACCCTGCGCTCTCCACTGCATCCTCCGCCAGCTTTGTGATGCTTTTCTGTAATTTGTATCAGTCCGTGTTTGCAAAACACACTGAGCTCATTCATTGTGGAGAGTTGGTGTACGGGTGCAACGCGTCTTAGTGCCTTCCACGTCCCCCTTCACTCCACCCGTCAGTTTTAAATGAACTCAAATGTCTCCCTTTAAAATAACAAAACAGGGCCAGGGATGTAGTTCAGCAGTTCTGCACCTGCCTGGCAAACACAAGGTCTTGAGTTCCATCGCCGGTACAGGAAAAAAATAATAAAATAAAATTTAAAAACAAAACAACAATAAAGTCCTCTTCCTCGGGATGTACATTATCAAATACCAAGACTACTGTAAAGGTTCAAGGATGCACGGGACAAGACGGGACCAGACAGGCCATGCACGTGTGCTCACCTCATTAATAACAGACATGGCCCCGCAATTAAAAGATAAAAGAAAAGGGCCTGGGATGTAGCTCAGAGGCAGTGAGCCTGCCTTGCAAGCATGAGGTCCTTAGTTCAGTCCCCAGTACCAAAAACAAAAACCCCAGAAAACTCGCAATGAGAAGCCACTAAACATCCACTAGAATGGCTAAAATTCAAAGGACTATTGTTATGGAGCAACTGGAACTCTTCATCTGTGGCCAGCAGAAGCACACATTTAGTGGAACCACTTTAGAAAACAGTTTGGTAGCAGCTGCTAAAGCATATAGCCTGTGATCTGCCAGTGCCACTTCTTGGTAACTATCCATCGGGATTCCTGCTCGTATCCTCCAAAAGACATGTGCATGGCCATAAGACTCATTCACATTACCCCAAACCGGAGACAGTGAATTGTCCATTGACGGTAGCCTGGATAGATGATGGTGGCAGAGTCATGCAGTGGAATATTATACAGAAAGAGAAACACCTACTGTTACATGCATAAGATGCATGAAGTTCAGACACAATGCTGAGCAAAAGAAACCAGATACAGAGCAGGGTGTGGTAGTGCATGCTTGTGACCCCAGCACTCTGGGAGGCTGAGGCAGGATGAGGCAAGAGAATTCCCAAGTTTGAAGCCAGCCTAAGGAACTTAGTGACTTACTAAGACCCTGTCTCAAAATAAAAAGAAAGGCGCTGTGCCGGCCTGGCAAGCACAAGGTCCTGAGTTCAATCCCCGATACTGAAAAAAAAAATGTAAAAGAATAAAAAGAAAGGAGCTGGGGATGCATCCCAGTGCATAGGTCCCGGGTTCAATTCCTAGTGCAAAAACAAGAGCTAGGACAACTTCGAGGGATAGTATACCTGGAGGAGTCACCGGAGATTCCCGGGAATGCCTTGTATCTTGGTCTAGGTGGTAGTTGGACAGACGCACATGCTCAAAAATTCACTGAACTATACCAAGGAGTTGTGCACTTAGCTGTCTGAAAGTGAAACCCTAAAAACAACAGTTGAAAACCCTTCCCCTCATACTGCCCCCCTCCAGCAGCCACACGTTCCTCGCCTCGAATTCGTGGCCCTGCTCGCCAGAAGATTCCGCTGCGCTTCACTTTTCTCAGCCTTTCTCAGAGTCACTGAGTCCAGCTGACCACCTCTTCTGTTCTGAAACTTTTCCGTGTGCGGTATCGGGGGTGGAGCTCAGGGCCTGGCGCTGAGCTGCATGACCAGCCCTCTTTATATTTTTATTTTGAGACGGGTTCTTGCTAAGTTGCCTGGGCCAGGCTCGAACTTGTGATCTTCCTTTAACCTCCTGGGTAGCTGAGATTCCAGGTGTGCACCGCTACACCCAGCCATATAAGAGTATTTCTAGGTCGCTGTCGTCCAGCACAGTAGCCTGGAGGAATATGTGGCGCTGGAGCACCTGAGGTGAGGTGAGGTGAGGCTTGTGTGACTCAGGAAGTGCGCTCCGTTATCTGTCAAACACTCCCCAGACAGCTGGGACGTGCGGCAGTTAGTGAGCACTGCTGCCCTGGGTACCAGCGTCCAGTCCTGCTACTCTGATTTCTGATCCATACGCCAGTTTGTAAGCCCAGCCTCGCCCTCTCCTCCCACCTCCACAGCAGTGCAGCTGCCTGCCTCCTCGGCGTCTTCCCGGAAAGCAGACTTGGAACTGTCCTTCCTTCCCACACCCTCCCCTCTGGCATTCCCCACTGCAGCTCACAGCCCCACCTGTCAACCAGTTTAAACCAGAAACCGAACAGCCTGCCCACTGCCCCCACGTTCCAGCACACGGACCCACATCCCCAGGAAGCATCTCTCTGTCCTTCTCCCCCTTCCCACCATCACCGTCCACGCTGCCCTCTGCCTCTCGCCTGACAGCTGCTGTCACCTCCTCGCTGTTGCCTCTTCCCCGCTCCTGTCCTCTACAGTCTTGCAAAGGCAACCAGCATGCTCCTCCTCCTCCTCCTTCTTTTTTTTTGTTACTGGGAATCGAACTCAGGTCCTTGTGCTTGCAGGGTAGGTGGCAGAACCACTGAGCTAAATCCCTGGCCCTCCTCTACTTAAAACACCCTAATATCTCCCTTCCATGTCCTCTCAGGACGCTGACCAAGAAGAACCCGCATCAGCTGGCCCTGCTGACCCCTCCCATCTCATTCCCCATAACATCTCCCTCTCTCTTCTCCAGTCTTGCAGGTCTTCTTTTTCACTCCCCCCCCCCCAGTCCTGGGGATTAAAGCCAAGGCCTTTTCACTGAGCTACATCCCCAGACTTTAAATTTTTTTTTCCTTTTTTTAAAATTTTGAGATAGGATCTAGCTAAGTTCCTAAATTGCCCAGGATGGACTCATATTTGGTGATCCTATCTTAGTCTCCCAGAGTGCTGGAATTACAGAACTATGCTGCCTGGTCAGGCTGCCCACTGGCCTTAAGTCTCTCACACTCTGTGTGCTCCTCTCCAGCCTCAGGCCTTGTATATACTCTTCCCTGTGTGGGACATTCTTCCCTTTCTCCCGTATGTGGGACACGCTTCCCTTTCTCCTGACTCTTCCTCTTTCCGATCTGAGCCCCACACACATCCTCAGGGAAGCCTTCTTGATCAGGTCAGGTCCCTTTATCATGTGATATTACTGCAGCATGTAATTCTCACTATAACATGTATAACAATTTGTGATAGCTGGGGATTTAGCTCAGTGGTTTCGCCGCGTGCTGCGCAAGCGGGAGGAGCCGAGTTCGATCCCTGGTACCAAAAAAAAAAAAAGAAAGAAAAAAAAACAGAAAACAATTTGTGATCAGATTCAAATAGATATATGGTGAGAGTCTTTTATTACTTTCTTGCCTAGTCTCAATCTACAAATGCTCTACTACTGATTTACTATAAAGGCTATGGGGACCAGGCATGGTGGTACATGCCTGTAATCACAGTCCTTGGGAAGCTGAGGCAGGAAGATCACCATAAGTTCAAGGCTAACCTGGGCTACATAGTGAGTTCAAGGTCAGTCTAAACTACCCAGTGAGACTCTGTCACAAAAAAACAAAAAACTGGGCCAGGGATTTAGCTCAGTGATTCCGCCGCCTGTCTCGAAAGCAGAAGGACCCGAGTTCGATCTCTGGTACCAAAAAAAAAAAAAATTTAAAATTTAAAAAAGTAAAGGCTATACGGAAGCCAGGTGTGGAGACACACATTTGTAATCCCAGCACTCCAGAGGCTGAGGCAAGAGGATTGCCAATTCGAGGCCAGCCTGGGGAACTTAGCAGGACCCTGTTTTAAAATAAAAAATTAAATTGAATTTAAAAAAGAGCTTGAGGGCTGGGGATTTAGCTCAGTGGTTCTGCTGCCTGCCTCACAAGCACAAGATCCTGAGTTTGATCCCCAGTACCAAAAAAAAAAAAAAAAAAGAGCTTGGGATGTAGCTCAGTACAGAAGTACTGGGTTTAATTCCCAGTACAGCAAATAAATAAATAAATAAATAAATAAGTCTAGGAGGGCAAGCACAGCACCTGGTTTTCTTTTCTTGGCTGCTGTATCCTTGCATCTTGCACATAGTGAGTCCTCAATAAATATTTGATGGTTATAGGAATGAAAGCCAAGCCCAGACCACTGTGCCCTCTCCCTCACAGTGGTCAGCTCTCACCCACAGGGTGCACTTCTTTTCCTCCTTAAATTGGCCCTCACTTGCTCTGCAGAGTTGTTCCTTTTCCTACCTTTAAAAGTCATAAAACTACCTTTCTGCACTTGTCTTGACAAATTCTTTGTTCAAGACAGAAAGAACCTAGAAGCCACCTCTAAAAAGGGTCTACAGAACCTCAGGACCCAGTAACGTATTTTGATGAAGCCAGGTAGGAGGTAAGGGCCATTGGGCACAGTTTTGTTTCTCTCCCTTCTCTGAAGTCCATGGACTCGAGCCAAGGAGGACAATGGTTTGCTTTTTCCTTTCCACCTCTCTCCCCTATGAGGCC